CTTCAGATACCTGTCTTGCTCAAGCTGTAAACAACCAGACGTTCATTCCTGTAATGTTATCAACAGTGACTTCAGTCTGCAAGGCTCTTAGTTTACAAAAGGAAATGGTGGGGGGATAGGGAAGGAGATTTACAGAGACTGGGTGTGTCTCAACAAGTGTGAATTTAACAATGCTTCTCATCAGGCAAATTAAACATTTTACAATACACTTTCCCCCTTAGGTGCCCTCCTCTTCTGTTACTGGTGGAAACAATTTAGCAACAACCTCATTAACTGAGGATCAGGTTCCTCTGTGCTTCCTTCCTGATCATTCCTTTTCCTCTCACACTTATATACGCAACATGCAGCTGTGGTGCACAGTCAAGAATAAATGTAAGTGCTTTAAAATGTAAGTGCTAGGAATAGAAGTTCCACTCTGAATCACTTCCAGCCCTAACACTTCTAAGTCTACAATAATTTAGTTAGAGCTGCATGGGCACTAATCATGCTAAATTTATGTGTTCTTCTTTATGTGAACTGCTTCACTTTAAAGGCTGAGGGCATGTCTGCTATTCCCCTTCTCCCTACACACACACAACCCTGCACACTCTGTTCCAATTACAGGTTAATTTCCCAAAGTACCTTGGAGTACACATTTAGCTGCCCTGGCTTAAAATGTGTCTACATTACTGAGGTGCAGGGTAGGATTAATGTTCAAATTCTGAAGTAATTTGAAGAAGGTCAACAGATTAAGCCCCCTTTCTCAAAGCAGCTTCTCTCAAAACTGGCATTATGCTAGCTTTTTGCACAGATGCATCTCAAATTTCATGTGTACACTACATATGCATGTCTTGACATATGTATGCATATATAAACACATAAAAAATAAGCTGCATTGTGCCTGGTACTATTCTGTTCTAGTGGAAGTGAGGTAGAGGGGGAACAGAGCAACAATTAAAACTAGATTCTCTTGAATAGATGTACATCTAACTCACAAACCAGAGGTTTCCACTGGAAACGTAAAAAACAGAGTGCTCTGTAGTCTGTCAGTTCTCACATGAGCTGTGAGTCTCAGGGGTCTCTCTGGTAGCCATTGAACCTGACCTCCACCCAGGTAGGGTCATTTTAAATTGACTCTTGGCACATATACAAGAAAGGAAGGTAGAGGTAATTTGCTTTTGTCAGAGTTCTGCTTTGTTGTCATTTGGGGAAAACGGAACCTAAATAAAGAGGAAGATACAGAAGGCACTGAAACTTCCTTTTTTTTTTTTTTTTTTTAAAGCAAACAGTAGGTGTGCAAATGTCAGCAGCAGGAGGAGAAAGAGCAAATAAGACACTTGAGTGGGGAGGGGAGCCTCTAGGAAGTGGAGGAAGATGATGGGAACAGGGAAAAAACCAGCATAGCAGGAAGAGGACCAGAGATGGGAAAGGGTCAACATCACCAGTAGCAAAACAAGTACAAAACACTCCATAGGTCTATTTCTTCTCTCCTGTGAATATTCTATGAACCAGTGGTCTTGCAGCATTTTACTCAATTCCCCATAGAATATGGGAAACATTTGAACATCTGAATGGAGAAACACTCCACCTCTCAAGATGTCTTTGACTGTTTTCTACAACTCCCTCCTCTTGCTCCAATGTGAGAGCGGGCTCTCTTAGAAGCAGCACACCACTGCACAGTGGTTTACCTTACACTTTTATTGTGATCTGACAATCTCTGCATATATGTGAATTTATCCTTCCCTACCTGCTCCCCCACTCTCTCTTTCATGTGTACCCTGCAAAGGGATTTGAGATGTATACACAGAGCAAGCTGAATCGAAGAGGTAAGGACAGGTGTGCTTCACTCTTCATTTCTGTCAAGAAGAGAGGGGATGAGAAAATTCTGCCTGAAATGAATGGAGCAATTCACCTCTCTCAGAGCTCTTGTTTTAAGCTACATATATGTCTCAAGCCATATTCATCTCCATCTTGTATTCTCACTCAGTTCAGGACATCTGACTGTGATGAATAGGTCATCTTACACCTTTCTGAAAAGCCTTTGTTTAAAGGTCAATTTCTTCAAAGTGCTGTACAATCCCCATGGTTATCTAACTGCCTTAAAATCCGGCATGGTCATCGAGGTGGTGAGTAGAATTATTGATCTAAATTAGAGGTCACTTGAGTCAAGAATTCCCAAGATATAGCCTTTTTTTTTTTTTTTTTTAAGAAAAAAAAAAGCATTCCTTAACATTGACCAATTGTACTAATGTTTCCTTTGTGCACACATCTAGAATAATACTGTGACCAAAGAACCTCAGTTTTACCCTAGCAAATGAAAGCCATCAATTATCTCCTTTTTATTCAGAGTTTAGATGCTTTCAAAAATTTCAACTCCACACATGCAGAGAATTAAACGCTTGAGACTTCGGGGGAATTACTGACCCTTTGAATAGGTCTGAACATCTCCCTCCATTCCTATATAAAGCCTGGGAAATCCTTTTTCTTAAGAATCCTTCTTTCTGCACTTACTAAGTGTTCAGAAGTTAGAAATTAATTGCAGGTAGTTTGTTTTGAAAATTAAGAAAAAACAGAAAAGAAATGGTAAATCATAATTCTGGAAATAGTTCAAAAGGGTAAGAGGAAGGGAAGAGGCTAGATGGGTGAATCAAAACCTTCTCTAGGCTCTAATGGTAAGATTATAACAGCACCAATAGCTTGTGAATAAAAGTATGCATATATCTACTGTGTAACAGCAGTGCTACATGCAAGCAACTGCAGAGTACTAAGTATCTGCCATATGAATGGTGCTTAAAATACCAAGACTTGGTGAAACAGGAAGGATGCATCAACTGAAAATGGCAGCAGAAGAGTTTAGGGACAAAAGAGAGTGAATGGGAGGTTCTGCAGATGTTTCTTTCCAAGTAATGCACCTTAGGTTTGTATTTTCCATGTGCTGGAAGCTGTAATACTATCAAGCAATCAATGATTAAACTAATTTTCAGTGAAATTCTGTCATTACTATTTTGTCATTTCCCTTCATTTCTCAGGGGCTGACATTTTTCAGCACTGAGAAACTATTCATTTAATTCTCTAACTTCAAAACCAAACCACATATAATTTTACAAAAAACTGTGCATTAGTGAATAAAAGCAAAGTTACTGTGGAATGTGTATGGAAACATATTCAGCTTCCATTAGAATGCCAAAAGCGTTTGTTATAGCCAGTGTTTTAAAACTGAATGCCAAATGAACTTATAATAATATGACATAACAGAACAGTTTGAAAATGTCTACTCCAAAAGTGTGCATACGTTCACACACTTGCACATAATATGCAGAAATTTAGCCTAAATGATACTAATAAGACAGGACACAAACTCTGACAAAAAACCAAACAAAACCAAAACCAAACCAAAACAAACAAACAGCAGTAATTGAAAGAGGTAATCTTAGATAGTTATCTAATAGCTTAAAAAAAAAAAAAAAAAAGAATTCTAGTAATTCATTCAAAGAACAGCTGTTTCTTGAGCTTTATCTTCTTATCCAGATATTGCCCATAGGAAAAAAAGCAACCCTACATTCAACATTAACCAGAAGCAACAAGCTACTAAGTAACTGATGTATGGGTGGCAAAACAGCGCACTCTCAAGGTACCAGATTACATCAGACAAATGCCCATACTAAATGAACTCCAACTAATAAGTCAACATGAACCAGCTTCGAAACTAAGATTATGTGTCAAGAATGTAAGAGCTGAAATGTAGGTCAAACGATAAATTATGGCCTTTCAGGGGGCTCAAAACTTCTAGCAAGAGAGGATTCATCTGTGCTATCACAATCCATTTCTTATAGCAATAGAAGTAAAAGAAGAGTTTCAGAAGTTAGTCAAGAACAGTTGTACCATAATTACTTGAAAATCGAAAGTCACCTGGTACTTCAGTTTTTCATCAGGGCAGGACATCTGAAAATGGACAGGTAAAACAGAGGCAAAAGTACAGGTGCAACAGGGAGAGGTAAAATAACTCTCTCTACAGTCTTTAATGAAAGATGATTCTGGCTCTCAATATCAGAAAAATGTGTGGGGTTTAGGGGGGAGGTATGGATGTGCTATTGAAACTCTTTTTCTTGGATGGAATTAAAAGGGGAGACACCTGATTTAATGTTCTGAAACCCTCCCCTTCTCCCTCACCAAAAAGAAATTGCCTGAATGATAACTGTTATGAATTTCTTGACAAAGACTCATATGAGTCAAGTGTCAAAATGATAGTGTGACAGTAGATATATTGCCTCTACTACTCATCCCCCAAAATATGAACTACTGCTGAGGCCTTCCTTGGGAAGGTTTATACAGATTAGTTTTTAATTCTGTTACCTAAATTTATCATCCTCTCCATTAGGCAGAAGAGCACCCCACAGAAAAAAGGGCTTCTCAGACAGAATGAGGAAGATAAGTAAGCTGTTTTAATCTCTCAAATAAAGGGTTCCCAAGCTTCATCTTAAATAAAATTTTATTTAAGTATTTAGTAGGATGATTCCCAAATAGAAAACTAAACACATATCCTTTTGATTTCAAAAGGAGTGACCCAGGGAGAATCTGGGGCACAGAGTACCACAATACAGAACCAGCAGTAAGGGAACAGCAGCAAGTGGAACTCCCTTGGATACAGAAACACTCAGTGAAAACTTTAAATCCCAGTCACAGCAAAAGCAAATAGAGCTTCAGCATTTTTTTTCCAAGAGCTACATTCATCTAGGAAGCATAAAGCACTAGTTGTTTCACTAAAATTCAATTTATGTTAAAAAGAAGTTGAAATGGTTTCTGAAAACTTAAATCTGTGGTCTGGTTTCTTGTTAGTCCACACTATAGTCTGTGTGCAAAAGGCAGTACATTGAACATCAGTAAGCTCTCTCAATATTTATTTTAAAAACTAAGGTATCTCAAAAGAGTAAAACAGAATTTTCACATGATGGGAGTCATGTTATACAAGACTATTTGCATTAACAGATTAAATGTATTTTCTTCCCCTTTAATTAACTTACCGGGTTGATAATATGTCAGTAAGTTCTCTTCTGTTCTGGACTCTGAGTGTATTAGTTTGGTATCTAGAATCTTTACTAATTTCAGGCAAATTCAAGACCTAAGTAAAAATAAAGACAAGTAAGAAATGTGCATGGTAGGAGATATTTACATAGCTAACAAACTACTGATTTTAAAAAATTCACCAATTTACAATAACAGATACTTCTCATTAATCTTTTAATACAGATAAAGAAATTAAAAATTAAATCAATTTTTTAATGCCTCCTGGTTAACATTACATAAGAAGTAAAGAAAAGAATAATAAATAAATTAAATTAAATTTCTAGATTAAAAAATAAATTAAACTGAAGATCCAAGTCTTAGCTGATAGCTTTCATGATTAGCTAGGAGAAATTCTTATTGTAGAACACTAAAAATTGCTAAGTTACTACCATGAGGTTGGAGAGATCTGTGGGATTATCCTGCACTAATTTATATGTCACAGAACAAGAAGTATGTCTGTACTTCATACACTAGACTGAGAAAAGCTATTACTAAGAATATTTCTTTTCACTTCAGTAATCTTCATCAAAAAGACAAAAGTCTTTTTCTACAGAAACATCTTTTTTATTATTATTATTTTTTCCAAAAGAATTAATAAAGAAAAGTAGTGGTATAACCTCTAAGAAAGGAGAAATATATCTTCTATATTTAACTGCCACCTGTCACATTAGAAATTTAAACAACATGCAAAGACAATGTGAATTATTCTACAAAGGGAATAAAATGTGCAGAATGACTCTTAGAATTTTGTAGACAAAGTAGCTGTGCGGACAATCAACAAAATTTACCCATTTATGCCACAATGTCTGTCTAGAGAACATAAATAAACAGAATTAATTGTGCTTTCTAAATTTAATAATAAATACCTCAATAACACCAGCTACAGAGAAAGGCAGCATAGAATCTTATAAAGGAAGAGATTTTCACATTTCTTCATGTGTTTTTACTCACTAGCACACACTTCAGATCAGTATTTCTTATGATGATTCTTATAATCATTCTAAACATGCCACATTTTTTTACAGGGCCATGTCTAAGGTGGCTTAAAAAAAATATAGTGGCTAAAACTAGAAGTCCCTACAGCCCATCATCCTATCTCTGCCTGTGCCTGAGTGCTGATGCTTAGGAAGGGCTTAAGAACAGGGCCAGTACATACAACACTTCCTTAATCTTCATCCAAACTCCAGGCCCCTTTAGATTAGGACATTTCTGAGTTGGAACTGTTTTCTATATATTTAGTAATTATCAATGGATTTTGGTTTTATTAACATGTCAGTCAGTTGTTCCTTGAATCCATAGGATTACATACTACCACAGAAGTATACACAAATTGGTGTCAGTCTCTCTGACATTTGTCTCAAACATAACATTCTACTAATTTCTCTGACACTGGTTTAGACCAGGGCCACTATCATTTAATGATGCCTAACTTTGCTGGAGTGAACAAGCATGCAGCTTCCCTTACAAGTGAGTAGCTGTTGATGACACAAAACCATCAGCAAAACAGATATTCTTTCAACAGATATTTAGAGATATTCAAAACAGATAGTCACCTTTGGCATAGTTGTCACACAGAGTGACAAAACTAAGCATGGAAACCAAGGTATCCATAAGTTATGCTATAACAATGATGATGTTACATAACTTCACTGCAAATTTTTATCTGCAGTGTAACATAAAGCATCAATCTAGTATCTTCCATCAATACTTAATTCACAGCATGTTTTCTCTTTTTTCTGTGTTTATACAATCTAGTTTATGAAAATCATAACATATTATAATTTAGCTTTAGAAAATAGGTAAATTTTCCTATCTGGAGTTTTATCAGTAATATTGGTATCCCTTAAAATGATCTCCTTTTCTTAATACTGCTATTTTGGAGTTACAAATCACTGCTTTAGAAAAAAAAAATCATGCAAGGTTGTTCAAAGTAAATTATAGTGAATACTTATTTATGAGATCTTAAAAAACCAAGCAATTAATCAGAAAACTATGGTTCCATTTGATGAGTTATATGAAAAAATGATCATATGGAGTTGCTCACTCTACTGTTTTAATTAATGTTACTGACTTCAGTTTTAACTTAATGTCCATCTGTTGTAAAGCTGCATGTCTATATATGTTCTCAATTTTTGGTGACTAACAAATGTACACTTGAAAAGTTATTCATTAACGTACCATTCATCTTTCTCCATCATGTTTCCAATGTTATTTCTTTATTTCACTGTGACCATTTGGAATGAAACCAGTGTTCCCTGTTTGAGGATTCGTTCAAGCTTTAAGATGCACACTCAGAGCTTATGCTCTCTGTGTTTTGTCCCATTAGCAAACCTGTTTGTACTCTCCTTTGCTGTACACAAAACCTCAGGCTTCTGAAGACTCTTGCTCAGTATTGCCTATTTAGACTGAAGCAGCCACAGGTCAGGATGTGATATTGTAACACTTGACCACAATGAAATGCACTCCAGCGAGCAGGGTTACAAAGTTTTTCTGCAACTATCCAAGTCTCCCAGAAAAGCTAGTTAGTTGTCATTGATTTTGAATATATCACAGTGAATTATTCCAGATTTTTCTTTCAGCTTGCCTGAAAAGATGCAGTTGAAGCAGAATGTTTGCAGTTGTTTACAGCTTGAGCCAGCTGTTACATCTCTAGAGTATGTGTCTTCAGGGCAACAGCTTCCATACAGCCTGTATTTTTAGCACCAACTCATCTCAAAAAGATTCTCTAATAGCAATTCCAATGTTTGAATTAGTGGTCTCTGTATTCACTAAAATTCAATAGGGTGTTGCAGGCCTTCCCATGATAAAGTTCTTTTCCTTTATTGGCTCTCCCTCTTCAAAGTGTTTTAAGTTAAAAATCACCTTTGATTTAGCACAGAGCATACCTCTAATGGGTATTCTGTAATTTTTAAAAATGCTATCTAATGCTACATTCAAAACTTCTCTTTTCCCAGCTTACTGGGGTCTTTTGTTTGGAATGTTGTTACATTTTATTTAGAACATTTTTTTTTATTATTTGAAGATTCATTCTTGAATATCATATCTCTGCACCGCTCCAGAGTCAGTCCACAGTCCTGTAACATTTCTTTTCTAAGAATTCCACAAGTTTCTCTGCAAGCACAGACCAGCTCATACCAGTGTTCGAAAGGACTGCACACTTGGCTACTGACAAAAGTCACACAAGAACAATCAACCCCCTAGCTTTGCTTTCTTAATACCTGTGCCTACCACGTATTTTATGGAGAAACAGTGTCACATTTCTTCCTGAAAAGGGCACTAGTGTGAATCATGACAAAGTGAAGGTTGTTAGGTTGTTCATTTTTTTTAGCTACTTAGATGTGCAGACTTCAAAACGGGCACAGTACCCACAAGGTTGGAAACAGGGGTGTTATGAATTCAGAGGCAAAACATAGAACCCATAACAGACCCCTAAATGATCAGCCAGAACTGTAAGGTTAGAATTTATACTCACCACTTTAATTCCAAAAACAAACAAACAAAAAAAACCAAAAACAACCAGGAGAATAAAGAAGCAATCAGCATCTTTATTTTCCTAGTCAGAATGGAAACTATTGCACATTACTTGCCTAACACACCTTGCACACAGTGACAAACTGATGATCATTTCCAGCTCCCACCACGATGTAGCCATCCTTGGTCTTAAAAGCCTGGAAGAACAAAGGTGATAAGCTGTAACTAAACTACAAAATATTAGCACATCTTTGAAGTGAAACTTTGTAAATAATGTTCAAATTACTTCCCTAAACATTTCCATTCAGACCCACTCTCTAGTTCTATAAAAGTGGCTCAAAGGCATCCACAAAGATGGATGCAGCCCTTCTGATTTTTTTCCTAGAGTTGAGAAGTTATCTTGATTAACAGTTTATTTGCTGAAAATGTGCCATGAGGCACCCTGAAACTTTGCAAATGTGTCCCACACTCACAGGCACTAAAAAGGATTACTACGATAATGTTTCATTCAAGGAGGTACAGTGAAGTGTCCCAGACCCTGACCAAAAGCGGCAAAAAGTAATCACCAAATAGTAACTACAGATTACAACTCCCATGAGAATGAAAGGGATAGACTGCATCTTTCCAGCTCTCTGGCTGGAGAATAATCTATCTACTTGGTCAGTGGTCTCAAGATTGAGTTCCTGGAGGAAATGTGACTTCTTTTCCAGCTTTGAGGATTTATTTTTACTTTTGACTTCATTACAACAGCCTTACTGGTGAGGTAAGGACATTGGGTAGGACATAACAGCTTTTATTTCAGTCTAAACATCTTAGTTAGATTTTCAAGGGAAAAAATAAAATCAGTAATTAGCAACATCCTCAATTTTTACAATTATGTCAGGTCATCTTCTAACAACAGATTTCTCTTTTCTCCATACCTCTCCCTTATACAATGGTATATAACTGCAGTTTCAGTCATGCATGTTACTAGCACAATTTTTGCAAACATTTGGGAAAATTTTTTCACAATTAATTTAGCTTCAATGTAAGAGGCCAGCATGGGCTGATGCACTAATGGTGATCAGGCCTTGCAATACTTTCTTGCAGAGTGCAAAACTCAGCTTCTATTCTAGAAATCTTTCCTTTTTTTTTTTTTTTTTTAAATGAGCTATCATGTCCTGATTTAATGGCATGAATTCTTACGATAAAGTTTGGTCAAATAGCACACAAATATAAGTCCTGGTGTGGGAACACTTTAATAATTAAAAGTCCCCTCATGCCACTGGGGCTTATTCTTCTTCACAGAGAGAATATGCTATTTCAGCTTCAATCCTTCATACAGATACAAATACTTTCACTAAGACTCTTACCATCTGGTATAGTCAAAGTTTTAAAATTACGTGGACAATTATGCCCACTGAAATGCAAGTAACTGTTCATAATAGTTAGAATATCACTTGTTTTCTCTTGCTATGTCTCATTTCATGGGAAATAGTATTGGTCAGTGATGAATCTTAGCAATTTATTTTTCACACATTTAATTAAGTACTTCAGTCTAAGATTCTTAGCAAGCAAAGATGAAATTAAGCAAACACTTAGTTCCAAGCATGCAAAAAAAAGTACCACAGATTTAGCAACAATATAGTAAAAGTTTAGAAACATGCATAATATAAAGGTCCTGAATACTCACACTGAGGAAAGCAGTAAGCACAGAAAAAAAATGGGGAAAAGAATACAAAAAATAAAGTTGTGTGTGAATACATAAACTTTTCTTAGATAAATCTGTTCATAAAGACTTCTTTCTAAAACAATCATGAGAGACCCTGGTCCAAGAATATGTAAGATACTCCCCCCAGTAAATGGCTTTTGGTAGTTAGAGTTATGAATTGAAACTGTCAGTACAAACTTATTACCTTTAGTTATAGGCAATATCTGTTTTCTGAACACCCTGCCCAAATCCTGACCTGTCTTAGCTGATGCTCTGAATTCTAAAATCAGCCACATGAACATCACACAAATTATGGGGTAAACACTATCTGTATCAGTGTGCACATACAACACAATATAGTTCTTATTGGTGTGACCACCTGCTATGTCCAGTAAACACAAATTAGAATTCTTTTGTACATTCTTTTAAACTTCTAGTCTGGATGCCTGTTACAGATTGCAAAGCCTACAATGCATGTCATATGTACAGATCCCCTTCCTCACCAGTCCAAAATATATTTATATTGGTCGTATGGGCAAATCTTAGAGAGTTTATTATTTATCAGCAACTTCTTTTGAGACTCACATCTCTGTAAGAAGGCTGCATACCCACTCTGAAACATGCATCTGTACCCACCGGCTGCCCATGCAGCAGCGGAAGTACTCTAAATTTTAGGTCCCGGTTATTAGCATGTGTGCTTCAGTTGCTTTGTGGAATGTGTGGGAAAACTGATAATTCTTAATTGCACTGTATGTCTAAAAAGCTAAAACAACAATCATGTCATCCTTACACAACAAAAACGGTATCATAATAAATGCAGCAGTGTTTTTTTCCATGAAGCTTAACTCAAATGTCTTCAGCTGCTATTTTAAGCTTCCCATTACAAAACAGCTGACTATTTGCCAGTCATTGTTGCTGATAAAGCAAAAACTTCCAAATGTTACTAGCACAATATTGATGCCAACATTTAAGAGTGACAATGGTTTTATTCATCACTCATAAATGTACGCACACTACAGGTTACCACAGGTTACAGTCTGGTCACAGAAAGCTTCACAATCTTATTGTACAGACGACAGTAAGGGCAAAGTGCAGACAGATTTTAATGAGATTTTGTTTTGATAAACTGCTGTCCATCACATCGAATCATTTCACATGAGTGCAACAAAAAGGCACTACACACACAAGGCAAAAGTCTTTTTTCCCTTCCTTTTTTTCTGAAGAATGAGGCCTTCTGATAAAATTCTTGAAAGTACAAGCATGAGTTAACCTGCTACTCCCGTGTCGTGTCCTGAGCAATAGCATATCATTCAAAGAAAACAAGCAACAAATACCAAGGAAAAAATTATTCCACATCTTATTCATGAAAGAGGCAGAGACAGATTGTGAGCATCCGAAGATGTAGCTTTTCAGTATGATGCAAAAAACTTGAGGGTTTCTAAGAAGATAATATGTAAATTCACAGTGAAAAGTATCTAGTATATGACATCAACACATGCCTGTTCAAAGACAGAAATCAAGGTCCAGTGGGCATGCCTCCACACCTCACAGTGTCTAATGGATGTTACAGGACCTCATTAAGATCCAGCAATTTTCCATATTTGATCCTAGAACACTGTGTATACCTGAGATACTTTGTGTACTGAAATATTTTCATGTACCTAAACATATAGCACATAAACTCCATCCACCTCCAGAAATATTCTAAGTTGTATACAAGTATTCACCAAATATGCTATATAGATTACACAATAAAGACGCAGGCCAAGCTTAGCCATAAATTATTATCAGAACAAAGACTTGCTAAGATGAGGCCAAAACAGCCTTTTTTTGCACTGCTTTAAGTCAATAGCCTTTCAAAATTTGCCAACTTTGAAGGCAATCACGAAAGACCATTAATCATTGTATTTATTGCCTGCTTTATGAATTTTAAAACTATATATGCCATGGTAATAATCAATCACTGTATATGTTTCAATTTGAATGTTGATTCCACAAACAAAATTCCACAAACCTATAATTGGATCCAGTGGTTATTCATCCTCAGTGGTGCTGAGAAAGGGGAAGGATCACCTCTCTCAACCTGCTGGCAATTTCCCCCTAATAGAGACCAGAACCATCTCTTTGTTGCAGGAACACATTGCTGGTTCATGTTCCATTTTTTGTTCACCGGGACCTCCAGGTCCTTTTCTGCAAAGCTGGTTTCCAGCAGGTCTGCCCCAGCCTGTACTGATGATTCCCCACCACGTGCAGGACTTTGTATTTCCCTTTGCTGAATTTCATTAGGTTCTTGATAGGCCAACTCTCCAGCCTGTCAGTCCCGTGAAGGGCAGCACAACCACCAAGTGTATCAACCACTCTTCTCAATTTTGTACATTCCACAATTTGCTGAGGGTACACTCTGGCTACTACCTAGATCACTAATGACCATGTTAAACATTACTGGCCCACTGTACTACCTGGGAATGCAACTAATGATTCACTCCCAGCTGGACTTCATGCCACTGATCACAACCCTTTGAACACAACAGGCCAGCCAGTTTTCATTGCATCTCAAAAATCTAAATCAGCACTGTTGAGAGAAGGCACTTCATGGTCTAATCTCAAAAGCTGTCGACAGATCCCATCCAGCACACACTGAAATATAGCCTCTAGCCATCACAATTGCTAGCCAGCTTCCCAATGCCACCAGGATTATCAAGGTTAAATGCAAAGGATAAAAGTGCCACATGGGCAGAAACTAGATGTCACTTTTTCAGAGACTTCCTAGGGAGAAGATTTTGGAAGCCAAACAATGCTTGGAGAGACCAACAGAACAAAGCATGGGGCTTTTGAAATTGGAGGATTATTCCATATTTAGAAGAGGTTTATAGCTTTAATTATCTGAACAAACTACTGATTATTTTCATTACCAGTTATCATATTGGCCTGTTTACTGATAATGGCAGTCAGTGGTCAAAATATTTGAAAGCTTACAGACCTCCCCTTAGAGGAGGATTTGCACTACATCATATATGGTAAAAGGGATGTAGTACTCATGAGTCTTATCTCATGTTCCTCTGTGAGTAACAGTCAGGACCTGTAGAGATATTTGCAATCCCTTTTCACTGGGAATAGCTGATGTTAGATACCCTCAGATTTCAAGTATCTTGCAAGACAGCACTGCCTTTTGATTCATAAAGTTGAAGAGTAGCATCCCTAAAAGTATCCAACAATGGCTCACGAGGAGAACAGCTGAAGGTTTTCAGATAGTCACTGCATGTTGGTGAGTTCTGAAGCAGGACTTACAGGGTAGTAACTTTTGCATGTCTTCTAACAGCTGCTGGTTTCACAGAGCAACAGGCTGATTGCTTCAACTGGCATCATAAAACAGCTTGCTTAAGATTTTTTGGAAGATCCTATCCTTTTGTAAAGGCTAGATACAGTATTTCTGTAAGCTGCATGTTTGTCAGCACAACAGGAAGCTCTCTCAAATTGCATTAAGGGAGAACACTCTTCTGAACTGCA